GGGCTGGTGATTCGAAAATTGCCGCACCATAGAGGGAGAAGCCGGAAGCATAGTCAAAGGAGAGCGGAGGTCAGACAAATCAAAGGAGTCAGTGGAAGCCCCGGTACCTGAAGCGGGTGAGGAAACAGCACCAGTAAGAGATACAGGGGCCTTAGGAATGTCCAAAGAGTGGCCAAAAGACGAGGCGAGGTCAGAACGGGGTGTGGTAACAATAAGGGTCCCGGGGATAGCGGGGTCATGGATCGGGTACTCCATGGTTAGGTTACTTTTCTTTTTGTTTTTAAGAAAAAAAAGAAAGAAAATAAAATAAAAATAAAAAAAAATAAAAAAAGGGGGGACTGGGGAGGGATATTTCCTAGGAGGAATGAAAGGGCCAGAAATCTCTCTCCGCACCCAAGAGGACCTCAGCACCGCAAGTAGCGCAGATGCAGCATGGAACCCATGCCATACCCTACCCATCATGCCAGTAAACCAGCAATCCGGGATAACAACCTCATATCTGCTGAGCTACCTCGGTGGACAAAAGAGAGGGCGGCCGGATATCTGCCACAAAGCATACGTCCTTCGGCCACCACCCCCGGAATCCAAAAGGTGGCTTCCAGAGATACACCCGTCGCCCGAAAGACACCCAAAGCCACCCTCCGGGATACCAGAGAGGGATCGGGACATTTCCAGGCAATCCAGATTATACGGCAAACTACGCCACCGCCAAGAACCTCAACGGAATGGGATGGACCCCGGTACCCTTTCCCCTACCTAGGAACTAGTGTGCCTGTGGGAAAAAATCCCAAAGGCCAAAAAGGAAGGACAAAAGGGAGAGGTGGGGAGGAGGAGGAGGAAAGGAAAAAGGGGAGGATGGGAGAGGGAAGGGGGGATTGGAGGGTAATTAAGTTTGGTCTGAGGAAGGAGACCGACAGGTCTAATTCCTCAGACCAAGAGCCTCTTCACCACACCAAGGAGCCCCCCTTGAAGAGGAAAATTTGTGTGAAATTGGCCAGATTACTGATTCCTGACCAATTTATTGGGTAGTTGAAATAGATAAATGGGCGGTTTCTTGTACTCAATCGACAGAATAGAAGGAATACTGTACTAGCAAAGTAGCTATGAGTTTGATAGACTGGAACAATGGAATGGGCCAAAAATAGGGCCTGAAGTGGGTGAAATCACTGATGCATAAATATCTCCGCTGAGTCAGGTGTATTCTAACCTAATCACTCCGTAATCCGGCAAAATCACAAATCTGGCACCCTACAGGTCCCGATTATGCCAGATTAGTGATGGTCAACCTGTACTAGCATGTGTGTGCTGCCTGACATAAGATCAGCTTCATTAACATTGCCTATGGGTTGTCTACAGCACTGTATGACCCTTATGGGTTTAATGCTTAGATGTGATTATAATAGTACATGATAAAAACATAGGCTGACTAGTGCAAGAGAGAATGATGAAACATTGAAATTCATTGATTTCTTTAGTGTTTTTGGCTCAATTTTTTTTTTGTCAGGAACTGTGGACTACTGTAAGTGAAAGATGAAATCTGGATTGTGAAATGTTTACCAAAGACTCAGCACCTTCAATAATATTATAAATGAGTAGTGCAAACTTAACAATCCTGACTTATAAATAATGGCTATCATAAATACAGTAAAACCTCTCATTAACTAATTTTCTTAGTTTCAGACAAAAAAAAAAAAAAAAATTGGTCAGATAAACATTTTAATTATTGGACAAAAGCGTAATTTCGCATTTTGTCTGTTGCAAGTATCAGGTTGTCATCTTCAGTATTGGACCAAATCTGCTAATTCTGACAGCTGTCCTGTATGGACCATGGCAGTCATGTCCAGGACCTGTATTTTCATTGTTCCCTGGGCCATAGGCCACCTACTAAACCACATAAGAGGGATATTACAAGGTGCTTTTCCAGTCTCAGAATAGCTGGGAATTGGAATAATGTAAGCAATAGAAATAAACTTTATACAGTACACAGTTTTAAGAGAAATAATAATCGAGATCAAGAGGACAGAAACTGATAGTGCTAGTCAACAGTTAGGTGGAACTAAAAGATAAAACTCAAACACTAATAGGAGAGGATCAGGAAACACACACACAAAATGAAAATACAGGAATGCAATTAAAAAAATCATACAACTCTAGCACAGAAAATTTTTTTAATTTTTTTTTTTTAGAAATGGTGCAGATCAAATGGTCAAGACTGAAAGAGAAGTCAAATAATTAAAAACCAGATTTTAATATGGGTAAAAAAAATATTGGCATAATTTCTTGTCTAGTGTATCAACACCTTTTATATCTGAAACTTCCACACAAAATATGGCTTAAAAATGTGCCATTTTCATTTGTATCAAATAGAGAATCATGAGATCAAGAGTTTCCACTGCATAGCACTGATAAATAATGCACAGGAAGAATGCTACTGATCCTGAGATAATCTGAAGGCAAAGTAGTGGTGTGATGAACATTCTACCTCTGAGCTCTCAAATGTTCAAAATACCTTATATCTTGAACAAATTATGGTCCACTTTTAACAGGATACACCTTAGTTGTACATAAGATGTCATATAACCATCTTAAACTATTGCATCCAAAACAAAGATGTTCCTATTACTGTATTTCTACTTATCACAGCATAATTATAGCTATTTGCTCAAGGTTCTACTTCCTTAAATTTACACAATATTGAATATAGTACTTTAATTTTCCTAAACCTCCATTACATACAGCCTTTGCATCATTAATTTTTTAATAATCCCATTTTTCAATTATAAACTTTTGATGCTTTTTCTTACAACAACTTATATTTCTCAAATTCATCCAATTCTGCATCAGTCATATCATGTATACAGTATACAGGCTTCTTTTACTTTATGTGGCTTCACTTTATGCCAATTCATTATTATACAGTCCCATTTCAATCAGGAATTCTCTATGTGAAATACATTCACTACATGTGATCAGTGAGGTTTGCACAATGCTTTGAGCTTGGTACAGTTACAGCTAGGATGGGTCTGGAATGTATCTACTACATAAAGCAAGGAGTACCTGTAATGTATAATGGAACGTACAGTCTCTCTCATTTCCATAACACAGAATCAGACTTCCAACTCACACTGTCTTGGCTTGCTCTAGTTTTCCTTTACCTCTTCATCCTTTTTGCCTTTTATCTCTCATGGTTCAAACAGTCACCACAGTAATACTAACTTTCTTCAGCTTTTAAATTCTTTTGCATACTTATATTAATTCCCAAATGTATTTTCATTTTTTTCCCCAGACATTAGATATTTCCATTCATTTATAATTTTATATTTGTTGTGTATCACTTTTGCATAATCTTGATTCATACATGTAAGCACATGTTACTGTCACTGCTGAAATCTAACAGTGTACTGCACACGTCAAATAAAAACAAGTTACTATATCCTCGTACAGTGGAACCTTGGTACTCAAACCTAATTAATTCTGGAAGGCTGTTCACAAGTGCCAATCTGTTCGAGTACCGAACAAATTTTTCTCAACCAATTTTCTTTTTTGTTGGTTGTTATCACTAACCTTCTTAGGCCTCATAGTGACTTATTTATACAAATATAAAAAACACCAAAAAAATGTGAAGAAACACGAAAAAGTTTACAGCGAAGTGCTGGCAGGTCATGTTTGTTTGGTTGAGTGCCGAGCAAACGGTTGACTACCGAGCGATTTTTTTTACCGAACAAAGAGTTCGAATACCGAACTGAGTAGGGAGCTGTTTGAGTACCGAGGTTCCACTGTATATGTATATCATTTACATTCCAGTGAATAAAGGTTTAAACAGTTCAGCTTACACAGGTATGTAGCTGTTAATAACTTAAGCAAATACGTGTATACATGATTAAGCAATGTGCTTGTGAGATTATTGGCATAAATGTCATGGAATAATGTTTTTGAAAAATAAATTCAGTGGTCAATTAAAATTTTAACAGCAAACCACAATAACAATTTGTATTCTACAAATATCTTTTGTATTAGTTTAGAGTACAGTAAGCAATACTAATACATACTTATAAACATTTATCCCACAACACTTACCTCAGTGGTTTCTGTATATAGTACATAAAAGTTTATGAATTCTCAATTCAAAGTGATGGGGGCAAAATACTTAAACAACATATCTGGGTGGGGATCCATGTTGATGCTACAGTACATGCATAGAGAATAATTACTTATTATTGACAGCACAGCACAGATAAAGTAAAACCAGAAATTTACAGAAATACAAAATGTAACACAACTAAAAAGTAATCAACGGCAAATAATAAAAATCACATAACGTTCTGAAAAATTCATTAGGCTACACATGATGCTCATTAATGCAATGACCAGGAATATTTCCATTAAAACCCTGTAATGCCACATATAAAAGATCTTATTTATTTAAATGTTTACCATTAGCAGCTATTATATCCTGATCTATCCTTGACTAAATAATATACAATTTACCTATCTTGATTCCTGTTCTGTTTCTTTTCTTAGTTTACTTTATTTCTGCTTTGCTACCATGTATTATTTAATTTTTTCATATTTTGCCTTCCTCATTACTGTGAATATATTTTCCCAGTATTTCCAATTCTACACTAAATGACTTCTTTTTCACTCTTATTTTCTAAACTGACTTAGATCAGTGCTGTTACTTCTCAACTAAAAAAAAAAAGAACGGAAATTTCTCAATACCCACATTAAAATAATACTTGCAAACATTACAGAAGGATCAGTTCTGTCCTGACTAAATCCAAGTTGTACTAATGAGAAACACTTTCACTCGGCTCCATCAATGAGCACTCCACGGTAATGACTCGTCTCTCGTATAAAAGACAAACCTAGTATACTGTACTACTTTTTATCAACACACAAGGCAGACCTAGTAGCCTGCACTGCTTTCTAAATTTTATGAAATTAGAATTTTCTCTAGTGAGCCATATTACAGTGAATGCTGGAAAGTCTAAAGAATTAAAAATTCTTTATCACCATGTATTTTTATTAATGTTTACTAAGTGCAAAAATACTTATTATTCTTCCTTCTTTGAAGTTTATTTATTCTCTTAACTTGCTATACCAGTATTCCTTCATTTCTTTTGTTTTCCACATTCTCTTTTTGCTTCATTTCCGTGAGTGCACTTGTCAAAACAATACATACAATCATAATGCTGAATTAACATCTATCGTATTATGTTCAAAGTTGTCAGGAGGCAGAAGGATATTATGAGCCTGGTCCTCAGCATCTAACGATGGAGTAAAGTCTTGTTGCAAACTGGTAATCAAATACTGAATTTCACTAGATACTGGTGTCCCATCCTGGAAAAGATAAAATATAAATTAAAAAAAAAAGCACTAAATAAATTATACAAAATACTTAAACCACAGCCATTATCATTATCACACTTCCTCATTCAAAAATTATGTGATTTACTCTTTCTGTGACACCTTACATTCTGCATTGTCAAGCATAATTTTTTCTTACATCGGCTAGTTCCATCAAGGTAGAGTGGCCCAAAGAAGAAAACACATTCACCACTGTTCAGTGAAGTTTGTTTTATTAACAAAGCCATACTGTTACCAACAATCAAATTTATGCTATCCTTAGCAACTTGCTATTTTTGTGATCAATTCACTGTCATATTACAGAAATCATTCTCACAAAGCAGGTAAAACTATTCCAAGTCAATTTTTCACATTCCACAGTCTAAATTCACACTATTTTTTTTTTATACCACATAGATGATCTTTGATTCGTCCAGCAAATGGTGCACACAGTGGAGAGGTCTGACAGATCAGTAACCTTTTCTGAAGCCAAACTGACAGACACAGTCAGTCAGTCAGACAGATAGTCAGAGTCTCATCAGTCGTTCGGTCAGTCAGTCGTTAGATCAGTCAGTCGTTCGGTCAGTCAGTCGTTCGGTCAGTCAGTCGTTCGGTCAGTCAGTCGTTCGGTCAGTCAGTCGTTCGGTCAGTCAGTCGTTCGGTCAGTCAGTCGTTCGGTCAGTCAGTCAGTCAGTCGTTCGGTCGTTCAGTCAGCCAGTCGTTCGGTCGTTCAGTAAGCCAGTCGTTCGGTCGTTCAGTCAGTCAGTCGTTCGTCGTTCAGTCGTTCAGTCAGTCGTTCGGTCGTTCAGTCAGTCGTTCGGTCGTTCAGTCAGTCAGTCGTTCGGTCGTTCAGTCAGTCAGTCGTTCGGTCGTTCAGTCAGTCAGTCGTTCGGTCGTTCAGTCAGTCAGTCGTTCGGTCATTCAGTCAGTCAGTCGTTCGGTCGTTCAGTCAGTCAGTCGTCGGTTCAGTCAGTCAGTCGTTCGGTCGTTCAGCAGTCTAGTCGTTCAGTCAGTCAGTCGTTCGGGCGCGTTCAGTTCAGTCAGTCGGTCGTTCAGTCATCAGGCAGCCAGCCAGTCTCAGTCTCTCTCTCTCACAAAAAAAAAAAAAAAAAAAAAAAAAAAAAAAAAAAAAAAGAGCTGGCATTTGAAAAATGCTGTCATCTGCTATGAGACTACGGTCTCAAGAATCTTGCCAGTGACTGATAGGAGTGACAGGCTGATATAGCTGTAAGCTGATGTTCATGATATCTGAAAGCATCTTACCTCAGCTCATTTCAAATCCTGGCTATAATAGTATAGTGATACTGTACAGTACCTATTCTTCTTTCAACAAACCAGCCCTATCCCACCGAGGCAGGGTGGCCCCAAAAATTAAAACAAAGGTTTCTCTTCATAACTTTTGTAATGTATACAGGAGAAAGGGTTACTACTCCCTTGCTACCGGTATTTTAGTTGCCTCTTATGACACGCATGTCTTACGGAGGAAGAATTCTGTTCCACTCTCCCATGGAGATATGAGGAAATAAACAAGAACAAAACCTAGCAAGAAAATAGAAGAAAACCCAGAGGGGTGGGTATATATATGCTTGTACATGGTAGTAGGTTGGTAGACAGCAACCATTCAGGGAGGTACTACCGTCCTACCAAGTGAGTGTAAAAAGGAAGCCTGTATTTGTATTACATAATGGTAGGATTGCTAGTGTCTTTTTTCTGCTTCGTAAACATGCAAGATTCAGGTACGTCTTGCTACTTCTACTTAAACTTAGGTCACACTACACATACATGTACACAGTTATGTATACATACTCATCTGAGTTTTCTTGGATTTGATCTTAACAGTTCTTGTTCATATTGCTTTTCCTCTCATATCCATGGGGAAGTGGAAAAAAAATCTTTCCTCCGTAATCCACGCTTTTCGTAAAAGTCAACTAAAATGCCGGGAACGATGGGCTAGTAACCCCTTTTCCCGTATAGCTTACTAAAAATAAAAAGATGAAAACTGTCAAAGTGGGATATTTGAATGTGCGTGGATGTTATGTGAATGATAAGAGAGAGACGATTGTGATGTTATGAAAGAGAAGAAGCTGGATGTCCTGGCTTTAAGTGAAACAAAGCTAAATGGGGTAGCAGTTTCAGTGGGGAGAAATAAATGGGAATTTGGTCAGAGGTTTCAAATAGAGTTAGAGCTAAAGACGGAGTAGCAATAATGTTGAAGGTTAAGTTGTGGCAGGAAAAGAGGGAATATAAATGCAAGGATTATGTGGTGTAAAATAAGGGTTGGATGTGAAAAGTGGGTTGTAGTAAGTGTTATGCATGCACGTGCGCACACACACACACACACACACACGAGAGAGAGAGAAAAGAGAGAGAAAAGAGAGAAAGAGAAGAGAGAAAGAGAGAAGAGGAGAGAAAAAGAGAGAGAGAAAAAGAGAGAGAAAAGAGGAGAGAGAGAAAAGAGAGAGAGAGAGAGAGAGAGAGAGAGAGAGGAGAGAGAGAGAGAGAGAGAGGAGAGAGAGAGAGAGGGAGAAGAGAGAGAGAGAGAGAGAGGGGAGAGAGACAGAGAAGAGAGAGAAGAGTAGAGAAGAGAGAGAGAGAAGAGCGAGAGAGACAGAGCGAGAGAGAAGAGCGAGAGAGACAGAGAGAGAGAGAGAGAGAGAGAGAGAGAGACGAGAGACAGAGAGAGGAGAGAGACAGAGCAGGAGAGACAGAGCGAGAGAGAGAGGAGAGAGACAGAGCGGAGAGACAGAGCGAGAGAGACAGAGGAGAGAGACAGAGCATAGAGAAGAGCGAAGGACAGAGCGAGAGAGACAGAGCGAGAGAGACAGAGCGAGAGAGACAGAGCGAGAGAGAGAGAGAGAGAGAGAGAGAGAGAGAGAGAGAGAGAGAGAGATAGAAAAAAAAAGTATGTGTAATGTGACCTAAGTGTAAGCAGAAGTAGCAAGACATACCAAAAATCTTGCATGTTTATGAGACAGAAAAAAATACACGAGCAATCCTACCATTATATAAAATAATTACAGGTTTCCATTTTACGCTCACTTGGCAGGACGGTAGTATCTCCCTGGGTGGTTGCTGTCTACCAACCTACTACCACAGCAGTACCTATTTTTTTTTTTTTCAACAAGTCGGCCATCTCCCACGGAGGCAGAGTGACCCAAAAAGAAAAAAAATCCCCAAAAAGAAAATACTTTCATCATCATTCAACACTTTTCACCTCACTCACACATAATCACTGTTTTTGCAAAGGTGCCCAGAATACAACAGTTTAGAAGTATATACGTATAAAAATATACAATACTGTATATCCCTCCAAACTGCCAATATCTCAAACCCCTCCTTTAGAGTGCAGGCATTGTACTTCCCATTTCCAAGACTCAAGTCTGGCTAGAGGATGGTTGGGGGGGGGGTCTTGATCCAAGGAGATGGAGCAGGAATATTGGATTTAGAGGGTTTGGGAGATGGAAGTGGGTGGTGGGAGGTGTGGGGGGAGATGGAGGTGTTGATCCAAGGAGATGGGGAGTAGCTCAAATCTTTGTATCATTAATATCCAGAAAAAGTTGATCCAAGGAAGTGGAGCAGGGATTTTGGGATGGGGATGGAAGTGGGAGGTGTGGGGGAGGGTGTTGGTCCGAGGAGATGGAGAGCACAAAAAAATGAAATTCAAAAAAAATTAGAAAAAATCGGAAAAAAAAAAAATTCAGGGAGCGGCGGACGTTGCAGAAGGTGGTGCAAGGGCGGCGTGGGCAGGGGGGAGGGTGAAGTGGTCAAGGGTGAGGTGGTCGAGGGTGAAGGTGGGGCGAGGTTCGAGGGGGAGCTGTGGGGGAGGGTCTAGAGGGGGGAAGCGGGGGAGGGAGGTCGCAGGGGAGGGGTCGAGGGTGAGGTGGTCGAGGATGAGGTCAGGGTCATTATCAGATAGGTGCCAAATTTCACACTTAGGTAGGGGTGAAGTAGAGACCGGAAATAACACCCATATGGCTCGGAAGTAACACCTAGGTGTTACTTCCGGTCTAGGCGTTACTCCCGGTTTCCTACTTCTGGTCTCTCCTTCACCCCTACCTAAGTGTGAATTTTCACACCTTTGATAATGACCCTGACCTCACCACCCCTCCCCGCCTGTGCCCCCCCACTCATGCTCCCTGCCTGTGCCCCCCGCCCGTGCCTCCCAACTGCGCGCCTACCCATGCACCTGCCCACCCACTCCCTCGCCCACCCGCGCTGCCCCTGCAGCACCTTCTGCAGCGTCCGCCGGATCGCCCCCGATCCCCGAATTTTTTTCCGATTTTTTCTAATTTTTTTTTTTAATTTCACTTTCTGTGCTCCCCATCTCCTCAGATCAATAACCTCCCCCGCACACCTCCCACCATCCACTTCTACCCTCTATGTCCAAATATTCCTGCTCTACTTCCTTGGATCAAGACCTCCCTCTCTCCCCCCCCCCCCCCGAAAAAAAAATAAAATTTCCATTTTCTTGTAATCTCTAACTCCTCGGATCAACACCTCTCTCTCTCACCCACACCTCCCACTTGCACCCCCATCCCAAAATCCCTGCTCTACTTCCTTGGATCAAGACCTCCCTCTCCATCTCCCCCCCACCCAAAAAAAAAACATTTTCTTGTAATCTCTAACTCCTCAGATCAACACCTCTCTCACCCTTTTATTTTAAACAACAATCCTTTTTTTCTGATTTAAAAGCTTAACTCCTTCATTGTTGACACCCCCTAATTGAAAGCCCCTTCTTTGTTACCGTGTCTGAATAAAAATAATTTTATCTTGTAAAATGGTAGACAATTTTTTCTAAAGGCAACGATACTAAAAATGCAAAATTTTATGTAATACTTGCCTCATTACACAGGCATGAAATTGGAGGTCAGGGAACACTTTACATAACAGCTATTTCACCCAATTTGAGGACTGTTTTAAGCCAATTCCTGTGTTCAAGCCAATCCAATTCCAAGCTATTTTGATAGCATGCCATACTCTTCTTTAACTAGAAGAAACTGGCCATTCAACCAACAGAACTACCCTATTAGTCACCTAGAATTCGGTAATTTTTTTTATTTTTTTTTTTTTTGCATTATTTTCAACAAATTCCAGTTTAGAAACAATGTAAAAAATAATAAAAAAAGAAATACCATAGGGCCTTCCAGCCACTAAAGTAACCTTCCCTCTGTTCATTAATAACATCTCTAGTCTTCTTCTATATAACGCTTGCCCTCCAATTTTAATCCATCATATAAAAATTCAACTTTTTTTTTTTTTTTTTTTTCCAATTTCTCAGCATATAAACCATAACCAATAATACTTGGTCATGGTTTAGGCCATCTCAATAACTGAAGCAGACCTAGTAAAAACCAATAAAACAGACCAAGAAGGTATGGGTAAGGGGTCCCTAATTCTGGTATGTCTTTTGGTCCATCTCTTGACACCAAGAAACAGTCAATAAAACCATGAAAACCACCCTAGAAAATGACCTGAAGTTGCTATTTTAACACAAACACAAAGTCTAAGGTTAGCTGCTCCCATCATTTCCTGGGGGGGGGGGTTATATACTGATTATACCCATTACAGACCCATTATCACATGTCTATGCCAAAATTTGCTGCTCACAGCAAATTTCAGTGTTCTATGTCACTGACACTGATCCTACAGATGTACAGTAGATCTACTTGACCAATAATGAAAGTTAAATGACCAGTACACTACCCTACCACAATTACTCTCACTACAAGTGAGAGAGTAATTGTGGTAGGGGACCTGAATGCTAAAGTAGGAGAAACTTTTAGAGAGGGTGTGGTAGGTAAGTTTGGGGTGCCAGGTGTAAATGATAATGGGAGCCCTTTGACTGAACTTTGTACAGAAAGGGGACAAATAAGTATACAAGATATGATGTAGGGCAAAATGACAGTAGTTTGTTGGATTATGTATTGGTGGATAAAAGACTGCTGAGTAGACTTCAGGATGTAAATGTTTATAGAGGGGCCACAGATATATCAGATCACTTTTTAGTTGTAGCTACACAGAGTAAAAGGTAGATGGGATACAAGGAAAATAGAAGCATCAGGTAAGAGAGAGGTGAAGGTTTATAAACTAAAAGAGGAGGCAGTTAGGGTAAGATATAAACAACTATTGGAGGATAGATGGGCAAATGAGAGCATAGGCAATGGGGTCGAAGAGGTATGGGGTAGGTTTAAAAATGTAGTGTTAGTGTGTTCAGCAGAAGTTTGTGGTTACAGGAAAGTGGGTGCGGGAGGGAAGAGGAGTGATTGGTGGAATGATGATGTAAGGGAGAAAAAGTTAGCATATGAGAAGTTTTTACAAAGTAGAAGTGATGCAATGAGGGAAGAGTATATGGAGAAAAAGAGAGAGGTTAAGAGTGTGTTGAAGCAATGTAAAAAGAGAGCAAATGAGAGAGTGGGTGAGTTGTTATCAACAAATTTTGTTGAAAATAAAAAAAAAGTTTTGGAGTGAGATTAACAAGTTAAGGAAGCCTAGAGAACAAATGGATTTGCCAGTTAAAAATAGGAGAGGAGAGTTATTAAATGGAGTGTTAGAGGTATTGGGAAGATGGAGGGAATATTTTGAGGAACTGCTGAATGTTGATGAAGATAGGGAAGCTGTGATTTCGTGTATAGGGCAAGGAGGAATAACATCTTGAAGGAGTGAGGAAGAGCCAGTTGTGAGTGTGGGAGAAGTCTGTGAAGCAGTAGGTAAAATGAAAGGGGGAAAGGCAGCTGGGATTGATAGGATAAAGATAGAAATGTTAAAAGCAGGAGGGGATATAGTTTTGGAGTGGTTGGTGCTATTATTTAATAAATGTATGGAAGAAGGTAAGGCACCTAGGGATTGGCAGAGAGCATGCATAGTTCCTTTGTATAAAGGCAAAGGGGACAAAAGAGAGCAAAAATTATAGGGGGATAAGTCTGTTGAGTATACCTGGTAAAGTGTATGGTAGAGTTATTATTGAAAGAATTAAGAGTAAAAAAAAAAAAAAAGAGTAAAATGGAGAATAGGATAGCAGATGAACAAGGAGGCTTTAGGAAAGGCAGGGGGTGTGTGGACCAGGTGTTTACAGTGAAACATACAAGTGAACAGTATTTAGATAAGGCTAAAGAGGTTTTTGTGGCATTTATGGATTTGGAAAAGGCAAATGACAGGGTGGATAAGGGGGCAATGTGGCAGATGTGCAGATGTATGGTAGGTTACTGAAAGCAGTGAAGAGTTTTTACGAGGATAGTGAGGCCCAAGTTAGAGTATGTAGGAAAGAGGGAGATTATTTCCCAGTAAAAGTAGGCCTTAGACAAGGATGTGTGATGTCACCGTGGTTGTTTCATATATTTATAGATGGGGTTGCAAGAGAAGTAAATGCAAGGGTCTTGGCAAGAGGCGTGGAGTTAAAAGATAAAGAATCACACAAAGTGGGAGTTGTCACAGTTGCTCGTTGCTGATGACACTGTGCTCTTGGGAGATTCTGAAGAGAAGTTGCAGAGGTTGGTGGATGAATTTGGTAGGGTATGTAAAAGAAGAAAATTGAAAGTGAATACAGGAAAGAGTAAGGTTATGAGGATAACAAAAAGATTA